AAGATAGTAATCATTGAGCGAAAATAGACGTTGAATTAAGTACAATAGAATCCTCTTTTAATACAATGAAAAAGACAATGAATCCAAATTTATGTTATTAGCTTTAGATAAAATGAATACAATTCAATACAATGTGTGATAGTACAGTATAGAATAGAGTGAGAACAAAATAAAGTATCTTATTATGAATAACTCAGAAGAGATTCATTCAAATTTTAACAAATTTATTTTAATAGTACATAAACATTTAAACATTCTCTGTCGTACACTATACAATAGAGAATTTTAAACTGCTGACGATTGCAGGAAATGAAAATTATTCCACAGAAGCAATCATATGCTAATAGTAATTCGAAAACGAATTACTTTTTTATTTTAAAATAAGAGATAATTGTTTACTAATAAGTACAGAATCTTACGTTTTACAGGTCGTTGAAATAAGATGAATAATATTAACGATTTTATTTCAAAATATGTTGTTTCCATTATTAAATTTGAACACTGATAAAATACACTGAATATGTTCTTTTTAAATTTACAACTTTGTAGAAAGATGATCAAAATTGTTGATCTTCAATAGCAGACATTTTCTTCTTTTCAGTTGTGCAAAGAAATTAGAAAAAATAATTTTCTAATTGTTTGAATCTGCATTTTACTTAACGTCTTTAAGAAAAATTGAGTGATCCATGATCTTTCATCAAACGAGTCAACTTTTCTTCTATTTGGAAGTTAGATTCAATTAGAAATTTTTAGAATTGTATGCAAACCGATTAAGTTCCATTACTTTATTCTTCGTTTAGATAGATTTCAAGAAAGCAATTTAGTTTACATTTCTTTTTTTTTAGAGTTATACACTAGAAAATGACTGCCACTGTACGAGCAGCTACTGCTTCGAACGCTCGTATTCTATCTTCTTTACAGCCACCTCCGAATGTTGTTGTCGTTGGTGGTACGTCAGGTATTGGTCGAGCAGTAGCTCTTTCAATAGCTCAACATTGCCCATCTGCTCATATTACCATTATTGGGCGAAATGAATCTGCTGCCATTGATATTCTACCACAATTAGGTTCAAATCCAAAATTTCTTCGTGCTGATGTCTCATTAACGTCTGAAATTCGAGCTGTAACAAAGAAGATTAATGCTGTTGACATATTAGTACTAACTGAAGGTATTTTAACTATGACTGGTCGAACACCAACAACAGAAAATATTGATAATAAACTAGCGTTACATTACTACGGTCGAGTTTTATTCGTACAAGAACTTCTTCCACTACTTCGATCATCACCAAATGGTGGTAAAGTTCTATTTGTATTGGACAGTATCAATGGAAATCCATCTAAAATTAATTGGAATGATATGGCACTTGAAAATACATATTCTCTTTCGTCTGCTGCCAATCATGCATTGTCATTTACTGATCATGCTATTCAATATTTTGCGTCACAACCAGAAAATACAAATGTAACATTTACTCATGCGTATCCAGAAGTTGTACGTACAAATATAAGCGATAATTTACCATTTTGGGCTCGATTTCCATTAAAATGTAGCTTAGCTATTGGCTTAGGAGTTACTCCAGAAGATTGTGCTGAACTAATGGTGTATGGAATGCTTGGAACAGAGAAAGGTTATAGATATGTCGATAATAAAGGACGAACAGTAACGAAGAAGATTCCATTACAAGAAGATATGGTTGCAAAAGTTTGGGAACATACATCTCGAAGGATTTCTTCGAATTAACGAAAATAATACCAAATGATGTATTTTTTTTCATGTGAAACTCATCATTACAGCTATTTACTTTACGCTTCGTTGTCCTTATTAACTAAATCTCGTTTGTTTCCGGACAATAAAAACGAGACAACTTTCATTAATAATAATCAGTGAACTACGTAATATAGATCTGAATAGAACATTTGATGTGAATGAAAATGAATTAGACAAAGAAGATACTCATAGCATACCTGTAGTTTTCGTTGATCAATTCACTACAATCGTAATTCTTCTCTTTTGATAGAATATCGTTTTGAATTATTGCACTACGTAATCTAATCATTTTGTATTGTGATATATATATGCATAGTGTTCATCTATCGATTATTTTCTACAATGTTCATAAAAATAATTTTCTCACCAAACTCTGTTCATTTTTATCAATGCTGAGAAACAGAAACTTTTTCCTTGTACTTCATGTTGTCTCTGTTGGAACTATAGTAAATAGCTTAAGCTTCCATTTTTTTGTCTTCATAATCTTTTATAGTCATCTCTCTTCTAAATATCAAGAGTTTTGATTCGTTTTTTGTACAAGAAGAAAAAGCTGCCATAATCAATATTGTATCAATTACGAAAATTTATAAAACATCATTTCTCGAATTCCTCGGTATATACAATAATGATTTTTTTTCTTTACTACCGTGATAAGATATCCCTAGCAATACTTGCAAAAACAAGCTATAAAACAATTCAAATTAAGAAAAAAAATGGTTGAAAAATCACTAGTCTAAATTTATAATAGTTTATATTGTTGAATATTAAATCATTATTATTTCTCGCTTTCTTTTGTACCATGCATTAGTTGGAGATGCAAAAGACAATGTGTGCAAAAGAGAAAAGAACAGCCTGCTGAGAAATTAAGGCCTACAAGGATATGGGTATGAGATGTGGGGTGCGGGTGCAGATGTAGCCTACATGACTAATTGCACGCTCACACCCACACCTCTTCCCCACCTCCTTTTTATTATTGAAACTGATCAAAATCAAATCAGCTAAACTGAGTCTCGAAGTCAAATAGAACAAGATTCAACAATCGTCATTGTATTTTTTTCTCTAGTAAATGTTTTTTCATCAAAGAATAAGTACATCAAGTTCGGGTTTATTCATTGAAGCGAACAGTTAAAGACCTAACAGAGCGATTTCAATCGGTGAACGCCATTTTAATTTTGCTGCATTAAGACAAGTTCGATAAATATCTTCATGTTGACCAGACTCCATCCATTGCCTTATAGCTTCTATAAATATGTCGACTAATACTTCCGTTATACTGACCAAGTCTGGTGGACTTTCAAGCAGCTGGAGAAGTTTTTCAGTGTATGCTAGTCTATGTGAACATTTGATCACTTCGGAAAGCACGGTATTGACAATATCAACACATTGATTATTAATTTGTTCAGGACTTGAACGAACAACACCGGACCAAATCGATTGAATTAAATTGTGATAGTTCACACGACTAGTGGCATTCAGTAGTTTAGCCTAAAAATATATCAATGCTGTTCTGAACTAAATTTTGTCCATTGATTTACCGATCCGAATCGTCGATTTGTTTGACGAACAGAGTTGCTATCAACCAGCATCACCATAAAAGAAACCATCAATAAATGTAAGAAAACCTTAGTCAAAGACATTTTGAATCGTCAGTTAAATTTCGCTTTCAATCTATTGTATTTATACAGTACCACATCGTAAATCGAAATCGCCGAAAACCGAAAGAAATGACATCATGAGAACAGTTTGCATCAGCTCGGTAAATAGTCATAAATCGAATCTGGACGATCATTGACGACAGGCTGATATCGATGATTGTTGTCATAAAACGATTTATGTCAATATTGATCAATTGATAAGACCAAGGAGAATGAGGTGAATGATCGCGTTGATATCTGACTGTTGCAATAGAGCAACGACTGAAAATTGTCCAAAAAACCTCTAAGGATTATCATCACGCTTATACTCTTCGCTCTTTTCGTTAGGTTTTCTTGATTTCAGTCTAGTTGTTGTTAAGTTTTATTATTCCAGCACAAGAATCGTCGTCATTGAAGACTTCAAATCCCTTCGATTGAAGTTCGTTGCTAGGATGACTGCACACTTTCTCAATTACCAATTGATGACCCCAATGTAACAACATTAGAATTGGGCATGCAACGAACCCAAACGTTCGCGTTCGATCATTTTCAGTTACTTTACAAAAAGGTGTTAGCACAATCTCTGCAAGATTAAAATGTGGAACACGATCTACCTATAGTTACTAATCTCCTAAAATATCGTCTCTTTATGTATGTCAGGGTATACTTCGGCATTATTCCTTACTTTAGAGCATTGAACTTCAACAAGGAAATACTCCATAGATATTTTAATTAAACTTCAGTTATATATGACCTCTGATAGTACCTTAAAGCCTTCTGGCGCAGTGTGTACCTGTCTCTAGTCTGCGTTTCATATCCCCTGAGTGGGTGTGGGATGTGGGTGTAGGGGTTACTGTTATCATTGGCACCTACATCGACACCCACACTCACTCACCATACACACAGCCAAAGCCATGCTCACACACACCCACACCCATTATGTTGACTATACAGTATATTTAACAGATGAATGTGGATATTTGAGTAGGTAAAGATACTGTTCGAGATGGAGTTGTTAATCGGTGTCATTGCTATTATGGATATTGATGAGTGTATATTTGTATTAAACTTGAAGGAGCAAAATTATACACGCACAATATACGTTATATTCATACCCAAATACTAGCGCAATAGATTAGTAAATAAATATCCTTCAGTTCTCGCTGTAATAAAGGAATAATTCGAATTTGGAAAAGCAAAAAAAGGAACAATTATCATTTCTGAGATGCTTCAGTAAGAGAAACCTATAAAACAGAGTTCTATATCACGAAAGAAACACTGAGAATTTGTCTTAACCTTGCAAAAATGGATAATAAATATTTTCATAAAGTCATCGCTGTGTTTTGCTACATGCTTCGGGAGTTGAAAAATGTGGAAAATTACATAAGATTGTTAAGTTCCATGTTTAAATTTCAGCCGATCATATTTGATAATGAAAAATTATTTAAAAGATTCATAAAGTGTAGGTGTGGGTGTGGGTGTAGGGTGTGAGTGTGGATGTTGGTGTGGTGTGTGAGTGTGGATGGGTGAGTGTGGATGTGGGTGTGGGTGGAGGGTGTAGGTGGGTGTGTGTGAGCGTGCGTGAGCGTGCGTGGGCGTGAATGAAGGATGAGTATGGGGTGTGAGTGGGTGTGGATGTGGGGTGGGGTGTGAGTGTTGGTCTGGGTGTGGATATAGATGAATAGAGTAGTTAAACCTATTCTCGCACCCACACCCACATGCTGTGTCGCAAGACCAAACGTACACAAAAACAATGTCGTAGTTAGAGTTATGAGTGCGGAACATTTGAAAAGAAATCATTTTGCCTGAACGAAAATATCTTCATTTCAATGTCTGAAGAGTAGCAACAGCTATACATTTTTTATGCTCGGTTTGAGATCAATTGATATTCGATCTCGATCACTGTCGTTCAACTAAACACGTACAGTTCCTTTTTTCTGATTACGATGAGAGAATGAAAACTATGTTTTTTTTTGTTGTATTTCAAATAAAGAACAGCACAATGCATTCATATGAGATCTTATTGTCGAACGTCGTTTAACATCATTGTTTTTAGCAACGATCGTGTTCTCTGCTTTTTCCGAGCACTTGAACTATGCAAATATTAACTACTAATAAGGAGTGGCAGTAGTCATTATTCAAAGTCAACAGAAAATAAATTTTCTTTTGTTGTTTTGGTTTTGCTTGGAAAAGCCCAAGGACGAAGATAAGGACTGTAGAACTCACGTTTCGAGAGAGACACAGAAGTAAACAAAAAGTTACTCACCAAGGTGGAAAATAGGCGTCTACGTGGATAATAACCGTCATCATGCTACTTTCTCTCCTATTCGTATTCGTTCGTTGTCGTCCGAGAGCATTGTCTCAACGGTCAACTTTGACCGCCCAGTGCTGTTGACGCAACAGAACAGAATAAAAGTATTTGGTCAATCACATAACTATCGAGATACGTGGCTGTCCTTGATACTTTTCACTGCTCATGCATTGTGCTCCAATTTTACGAGTACACTTTTTACAACCGTAGAATTCGGAAAGCCAGAGCTTGATAGCTACAGCAAATGTACATGCTTGATGATAAGACTTTATGGTGAGTAGGCATGTGACAATTCCATATCAGCTCAAGCTTCACACGAGCTGAAGGTGACGATCAACTCATTTCATTTTGAGCTTGAGCTGTTTGTAATATTCCCGATTGAATAGATAATATGATACTACCTAATTTCACTCCTTGATTGAATGAATCGCTCACCTTCCCTTTTCATTTCTTCTCACAATATGCGTTGTCCTTATCTTGCCATTTCTTTTCATCATATGCATTGTTTTTCATATATATTGTTCTTATCTTCTTGACCTTTTCTTTTTGTTCTTTCTTTTCTATCCTTTCCTTGATTCCTTCTCCATTTCCTTCGTACTGACATATAAAAGAAGAAACGTGTGTTGCTGCATGCATACGATTGTATGATTTGAAAGAGTACAATAAAGTATAATTTCATCTGCACTAACATTTCTTCTATCAGAAATCGTTACACTGTTCACCAGATCATTCCAGTTGAGCTAGTAAATAAGCTGAAGCTGGATTTTTTCATGTCAACTTATGGGAGGGTAAAACACAAGCAGAATTTTGATTTTGCTGAATTATACGTGGTTCGATAGAGTTTGATGCGCTGATTTCGAATATGCACTTTTCATTATTTTTTTCCATCTCGGTTTCAGTGAAAAGTGCTTAAAATATAAGTTAGTAGAAAACAGAGATGCCGGATAGGTTGGGTTAGTCCTAACTCAGACCAGTGGGTTGGATAGGCCATTTGAAAAATTTCAAACCTGATTCACCCATTAAAATTTTAAGGTAAATTTTGTCGGTTGACCCAAGGATTACCTTAGGTTAACTCATGAAATAATTTATATTTTTAAGAAATGATTTACAGATTTGGTCCACGACATACATAACTTGCACCCAGCAAGTGAACAGAGTTTCGAATGACCCACGTTTATCGAGCATAAGATATCGATTATTCATCATTTATGCGCGTTTTGTAGAGCAAGGTGAGATGTATCAATCTGTGCTATTAGCTATCTGAATCACCCATTACTTAAAAAAAATTCTGATTAGTGTATGAGGATTTGTCGGAAAAAAATTATATAGAAGTGTATAGCAGCTCGAGCTTTATCTTTCTGGTATAACCATCTGATAAGAAAGACCGTATCAACATCATCTTTCATAATAAACTTTTTTCTTATTTTTTTTTTGTAATACAAACCATGGTTAAGAAAATTCTCATTACTGGTGCATCCGGTCTCATCGGTGGTATATTAATCGAACATCTATCAAAAAATCCCAACTATGATATTTATGGTATCGATAAACATATCGGATTATCAATACGCTATCAACTTGAAAATATAAAAACATCAAAAGAACAACAACCGATATTACCATCGAAGGAAAAATTTTATGTATGTGATATTACTGATAGAGATAAACTTTCACGTATTATACAAGATAATCAAATCAATATTATTATTCATTTGGCAGCAGTTTTAGAAAGACAAACTATTGATGAAATTAATCGTGTTAACTGTGATGGTACTAGCATCTTATTTGATATAGCAACAAAACAAGAACATGTAGAATTGATTATTTTTAGCAGTTCAGTAACGGTTATGTTTGGCTATTTAGAAAATGAACCATATTCATTATTAGCAAAAAACATTAAACCATTGCAACCATTAAAAAAGGTAACAATCAATGACCCACCAATGCCATGGCGTGGAGATCCATTGCGTGAAGCATATTCCAAGAGTAAAATATATGCCGAAGAATTAGCCAAACAATATTCATCGATTCAGGCAAATAAAATAAAATTTGTCGGTGCTAGACTCGGTATGATAAATACAATAGATGATGTAGAGTATTATTCGTGTGATTGGGCAATTAAATCAACATATTGCAGTTATCGTGATTTATGTCAATTTATTGATCGAGTATTAGAAAATCGATCGAAACTGAAAAATTTTCAAATTTATTTCGTTTCATCCAATAATGATTATGGTTGGATTGATATGGACAATTGTAGAGAAGATTTAAATTATGTGCCTCAAGATAGCGCTAGATGGAATTAGACATACTCATATAAAAACGTCATCATAGAAACATTACTGATTTCAAATACTATAGTATTTCATTATAATTAGCTTTTTTTTATATTTATACTTATTAGATTGCTATCAATAATAAAGTTCAGACATCAACATTTAAACATAATTTCATCGGCATCGTAATCAATGAACACCTATTTGTCGAAAACACTGCGTTTACATTTAGTATGGATGGGTGTGAGTGTGGCTGTGAGTTACAGTTGGAATGAAGAGGAGATCCATCCAGCAAAACTTCGACCTAAAACTTACATTCACTATTTTTGTTCGAAAATATATGTGAATTCCACAAAATAGCTTTATGACACAGACAAATCATTTACTTTAGAAAACATTTCTCAAGAAGTCACACTCACTGTTAAAATGTGTTTTATAAATTGAAAATTACGAAAAAATTATGGATAATCATTTCAATAAAAGTAGTCCATTGATATACACGGTGTTCTATAAATTTGGAACATCCTGTAATATTCATTCCATAAGATTTTTATGCTCATACATGATTCTACAACGAGCTCTTTCCATCCAATAATGATTAGTTGATTTTGAATTAGATTTGCCAAAAGACCACTTTTTTCTGGTCTGACCGAATGACATTTCTGATGCTTTCAATACGCTTTACTGTATTACTCTGCATTAACTTATCAGTCAAGTTTGAATTGCTCATGTAATTTATTTCTATAAAAATAAGATAATAATAAGATCGTGCATGAAATAGCAAATGAATACAACGAGACAAACATCATAAATATTGTTTATACAGGGAAAGTTTGAATTAACGAAATGTTTATTTGATAATATCAGTTCTGTTTCGTATAATCAAAAAAATGTAATCATGATAGCAAAATTAGGCATACAATGAAGAGATGAAAGAAAATGTAGAGAATAACTAATACCTATAAAAACAGACAAAGACATTTAATTATATTTGCCATTCAATTTTCGCAACAGCATGATGTACTATCCTATTGTTTTGAATTTGAACAAGTTCTTCTGTCAGACAATATCAATTCAACAGCACTAAATTAACGTTTAGTTTAAGCACTTATTGTTGGAACCAAATAAATTTGTTGGAATACTCTCAAATAAAAAGGCAACGTCTCAACATTTAATTTCTAAAACGTAAGAATCAGATCAACAACTCTGTAAGCAACATACGGCAAAAAACCGATGTAAATAAGGTACTAATAGTGCGCATGGGTTTTTAACATAAACGACCTTGAAAAACGTCGTTTACCTTCCAATAAAAAATACTACGTAATCTGGAATGACTAATTATGGTCCTAAAGCCAGTGAAAAATAGTCATCGGTTTCCACCATTTACGTACGGCAGGGATTAGACCGTTTTAAAGCTGTTGTTTCTAACAGTTCTAATCAAAGCTATCAACAGGTCAACCTTTCCGGCCTGAACGGCAAACCAAGTCGATTGATGTATCTAATTTTTCGAATATGTTTAGTTGTATTGTTTCGAAGATAGGTTGCAATGGAAAGAAGACAAACACCTACACCCATACCTTTTAAAACAAATACATCTACTGACTTTGTTGAGATTAAATCGACAAGTATTGATTAGTTGATGTGATCAATGAACAAAATTTTGATCATGATAAGATTTCATTGAAATAATAATTAACTTCTAATAACGATTATTGATAGCAATGACTTCTCACTTTTTTGATGATTTTTAGTGATATTTCGACTTTTAATTTATGCTCGCGTGTTCTGTAGCGTCCTCTATTTTCGACTGTTAAGATTGTATTCTGTGATTCATGCATTTAAATATCCAATTATAATATCGATTCATTTATTTCAAAAAAAAAACGGAAAGAATTATGTCAAATGAAGATGATGATAATGAAGATGAAGATTTTGCCATTCGACATGCATATGAAAAATATGGTGTTAATGGTTATTATAGTCAATATGGTTCAGATTATCGAAATCCACATGAAGCACGTTTAAAAATAATTGTTCATCAACTTGTAGAAAAATGGAATTTAAAATCAACAGAACGTATTCTTGATTTAGCTTGTGGTAGTGGAGAAATAACATTAATTCTTCGTCAATTAGGTTTTCAATATATAAATGGTATTGATCCATATACAAGTGAAGCATATGAAAAACGTACAGGCAATTCAATTCATGCTAAATGGACATTTGAACAGATAGCTGATGGTTGTTTAGAAAGTGAAGGAGAATTTTATGATATTATTATTTGTAGCTTTGCTGCACATCTTATACAACCATCATATTTACCACTTGTTATGATACAATTACGTTTTGTAGCAAAAAAACTGATTATATTAACACCACATAAACGACCTCAATTATCACCTGAATGGGGTTGGATATTAAAAGATGAATTTGTGCATGAACGTATTCGTGCTAGACTTTATACATCCGATGAATAAAAAAAAAAGATAATAAAATATTAGTCATTGTTGTACAATGAAATTTAGTTATGAAGGAAAATTCAATTGTCAGTACATGAATGATGAATCTTTGATTGTTAGAAAAAATAAACTTAAATAATCTTAATTTTAGTAGAATCAGCTCTTATTCTAATAGAAATATTTTGATATTGAAATAAAAATCATAAACTGTTTGTTTATCAAACTCACGAGGAAATCTCTTCAGGTGTAAAATCGCTTTTCACTCGAGACTATTGCCATTAGATAGATCTTAGTGAGTAGTGAAAAAGTTCATAAGAGTTTCGACGTATGACCTTCTCTTGTCGAGTTATGAGTATTTTATCCAATGATAACTGAAATTTTGTCTATAGATACGTATCATGGTCACGGTTCGAGCTACAACGGCCTCATCCTTGCCAAGATATCAGCTTGTCACGAAAATGTGAAACACAATCCCAAACAGGTGATACTCTAAAATATGAATATCTCGGTAAAGATAAGGCCGTTGTGACTCAAACCATGTCCATAATACCTATCTATGGACAAAATTTCAGCTATCATTGGGTTTTTTCGAAAATGCCATGCGCATAGACCAAAAATTGAGTAAAATACTCATAAGTCGACAAGAGAAGGTCATGCATCGAAACTCTTATGAATTTTTTCACTGTTCACTAAGGCCTATCTAATGGCAATAGGCTCGAGCGAAAAGTGATTTTACACTTGAAGAGATTCCCTCGTCAGTTAAATTTGTTTTTCTCAAACTCAATTACAAAGGTAGTAGTGTCAAACTTGAATTCAAATGAATAACTACTCTTCAAGTTTCAATTTTCAATCATCAAATTAAATAAATCGAAAAATTTCTTCGCTTACTAGAAAAACATTGGTCTATTCTGAAAGTAGAGAATCTGCTTTATTGACTCATACAAAGAAAAACAAATGTTAGTCATATCTCTCTTCTATTTAAAAAAAAGTAATTTTTCTTTCTACACTAAACCCGGTCAGATAAGACTTTTAAACAATGTATAGAATTTTACAAGTTTTAGTCTTGCCAATTTCTATCATCTATTTGTTTATGTATTATTTTTTTCAAAGTTTAAATTTGACTTTGATCTATTTGCACGACGTAGCATAGGCTATTATTATATATTTTTTTTTGTCGTTCACAATTATCACTATCTTATCAAGAAACTCGTCATGAGTTGAATGTAAAAATAAAAAAAAAGGTTTACTACATCATTAATACTTTTATCACATAAAAAAAATTCGTTGCTGATTAATTGGAATTATTTCTCTTCTTTGATTGTTCAATTAATTTCATATATTATGCAATAGTTGATACTTTCAACCAATTACGTGATTTACTGACTTTTTCTTTTTTTGTAATAAATCTTGAGAGAATTTTTCAACATCTTCAACGCAATATGTTCTAATCTGATCAGCAAATACAAATATAAATTTGGTGATGGAGACATTTAAGTAAAAGAAAGCATTTTTATGAGTTTTTTTTTTGTTTGATATCAGTTGGCAATGTACTACAACGTGTAATCAGTCGTCATCGCTTTTGAATAATTCAGGATGTTGAGTACAATAGTTTTCGTATGGTTATATTGCTATCGTCATGAAATATTTCAAGTTCGTAAAAGATTATTTTAATGACCTAACTTGTTGATGTAAATGTTGAAATAAATATTTTTTAAGGTTTTTTTCTTCTTTGGTTCTGTATTATTTTCGATTAACTTTTCTCATTCGTTTGCGTGAATCATCCATTTAATCATTTATTCTTTATATGATAGTGTCATTTTTTCTCTTTTATTCATAGTAGTAACCAATTCTTTTCTCGTAACTTTTTCATTTCTATTCATCGATAACTTGGTATATTTTCCAGCAACTTATTCTATTTGTTTTTCGTAGAGTCAACTAAAAGTTAATACAGTTAATAGATCGATACCCAAACATGAGTGGATGAATACGATCCGATCTTTTTAAGTTTTAGTACTTTCATCGATATCTTTTACTCTGACATAGACAACGCAGATATGTGCAAAGCCATCGAATGTTATTCGGAAATATCAATCCTTCATCTTTCTATATCAATAATAATTTTATATTTTTTGAATATACAGAGTAGAACAAGTATAGAAGATATCTGTTAAAGCGAAAGCATTCTCAGATGTCCACCTCCTTTTGAACTGATAATTTTGTCCATAATTAGGTCTTGGTAAGCTATGAAAATTTTTCAAAGAGTTTGTTCCCATGGACATTCCTTATCGAGTTCAAGTGTTTCCTATGCACATGAAAGTAATGGCAAATACTTTTTGGTCATTATGAACGGGTAGAAGACTGTAAATCTTCTTGATAATAAACTTAATTATAACTAGAAACCTTAAGAAGTTTGCAATATGATAAATCTCAAAATTTCGCTATGCTACTTGTTAATAGTGACGAAAAAATATTTGTCATTACTTTTATGTGTATAGAAAATACTGGAACTCGATAAGAAATGCCCGTGAGAACAAACTCTTTGAAGATTTTTCATAGCTTATGTAAACCCACTTA